TTTCATGAAATACGCACATAAAATGCATATTTACTTTAAAAAGGGAAATGCCCAAAAGAAAGGGAAATACCAAACCATATTGCAGTCTACTTGATAACACAAAAAAGTAAATCATCACTGCTCACTAGGAAACAGGGCAATAAAGTTATAAATAGCTTATTACAGCTTGATAATATATTTGTATGTTAAACATTACTTCAGAATCTACTAGATTCTTTTGACCACTCTTCACATAGATTTCTGTTAGGAACACACTGATTGTAAACACAGCTCAATATCAAGTAAACATGCAGAAATCAATAGCAAATCAGACAACAGCAAAGAACAGAATACCAACACGGTTTACTACAAACCAGTTACATCAAAATTCCACAATTAATCTCCTCATAAATATGGAAAAAGTAGAACCACACAAGTATGAAATTTAAAATCTTTCTATGAGTGGTATCTTAAAAAAAAAAAATTAGAATCTTAATATATGCAGCTTTAAATCACTGTATTCATTTTGAAATTCTGGCTGGTGCAACACATCAAAGTCATTTAAAAAACAAAGCAAAGTTTGTTGAGTAAGAATAGGCTTGCAGCATAATTTGGGGATCAAGCATGGGCCCTGATGAGCAGCTGTAAGGGAAAAGAAAAAGAAAACCAAACACCCCCCACCAATAAAAAAAAAAAAAGAGCTCTCAAAGGCAATGACCACCACAAATATGTTTTTCACTACTGTAATACACCATAGGAAAAGCAGCAGCCTCTTAAATAATTGGATTCTACATTACACAATAATTAAACACCCTTCACACAGGAAAATGTCCTCTATTTCTAAATCTACCTAATAATCACTTCAACATCTTTCCCATGATTATATGCATAAATGCTAAGAAAAATGCCTTAGCCACAATTCAGTTGGTTATGAGTAGATTTTAATACCTAATTAAGATGGGTCATTATTTCAGAGAGACACCACTTGAGATTTACTGAATGATACAATACATGGCATTGAGTCAACTGGCAGCAGTATTTTCTTTGAGTCTAGAACGAGGTAATAACCTATGCAGGAGTTAAAAATGCTTTGATCCACTCTGTCATCTCAAAGAATGTCTTTTATTAATGAAACAGAGATGCCGCCAGGGTTTTCTTATCACCAGAATCAATGCTGCTAACGGTGCTGTATTTTAGATGTGACCCAACACTCAGGTTCTGGTTTGTTCACTCTGGAGCCCGTTTCACAAGAAGGTAACAGCACTGCAGAATTAGCCACCTAACTTTTTATTACTATTTCCATTGAAGATTTTCCTTCTTTCCTGTCATGCCATATTGCTGAGCTCAGTTCAGGGGTACCCAGGTTTAGGGTTAGGTTGAACCCCAACCCTAACTCACTCTACACCAGCAGCGGCCATATAATTTCTATAAACAGGACTTGTTCCTGAAGGTCCTGCTCATAGATGTAAATGTATTTAAGTGTCTGATGAGACTGGTACTGTCTAATAAGTTTGTAAAACACACAGACATTATGGAACCATAACATATCATTATAAAACATTTACATACTCAAAGACTGAAAAACAATAGGATTTCTTTACTATGACATATTTCCCTCCTACACTACCAAGCAAAGCAAATTAACATATCATACTTCAGACTTCTAATCTAACATCAGCTCTTTAATACAGTTCATAAAACACAACAAACCTAAGTAGTCAATCTTAGCAATAAGTTCAAATAAGTGCAAAATAAGTTCCTTACTAAAACCATCTGACATATAGATTGACTTTTCAAATAATTAAAGGCTTAACATGTTTGCCATTTACAAATCAAAACCAACTGACATGACAGACTAATAAACCTGGAACTTGATCTTACATTGATGAATTGAAAGGGAAATTCTTTCCACTTTCGAGCTGAGAATGTCAAAACAACGGCTCTGAACGGGCAAGGCCTTAGAGATACCACTGTATTTAATATGTTACCATTATTCACTTTTAAGTCGCAGCTCATTTTGAAATCCTAAGAAATTAGAATGGATGGATCTTCAGTTTGTACACTTTGTGTTCTTATAACTGTAAAGCACCAGTTCCTCAGGGAAGTGGCGTAACTACAGCAACCCCTAACTTTCTATCAGAACAACAGTGTGGTACGTGACAGTGGAACAGCCACGCAGCTCCTCCCCTTGTCCCAGAATCTTCCAGATGCTTCCGTTATTGGAGTTAACAGTTATGAAGATGATTACTTTAAATACAGTAACATTTATTTTAGACTTCAAAAATCTTCCACACAACACACCAGTTATAGCATAAAAAATACTCACATATTTTGTAATAAAAATCTATAGACTATGGAAGAGATGTGTTTACAGCCCTCTTCATGTGTCAATAATGGTGCAAACACTACTCGAAAGCAAAGTTTCTGAACTGATACTTCTTATAAATGGTCATATTCATTTGAGATCAAGAAGTATTTTTTATTTAACATCATTCATCTAGTACCTCTTCCTCGCTTTCCTGTTCCACTGTTTAAAGCCTGATTCTGCTCCATTGAAACTGAAGGGAGTTTTGCAATTAATGTCCTGAACCTCATCTCTATTTCTCTAGCAAAGGTTCTCATTTTCCTCTTGCTTATGTCCAAGCTCTGTGTGCTTATACTTCTGTTTCTTCATTGGGCTATCACCTGCATTTACCTCTGCCTGCCATTTCTTCTGTATACCAGTGTTTGAATAGTCCTGAAATATAAGGGTAGGGAGGTGAGCAGAGCAATGGTTTTCAGTCAATTTTTTGGACTCTCTTCCTTAAGAAGCAGCAACAAATTCACATCTCCTGACAATATCGTGGGTTGAAGATTTTTTTATTTATCAACTGATATAGGCCTCTCAAAAACAGTCTGTGGAGTCCCAAAGGCTCCTATATCAAAGGTTAAAGACCAATGAATGAGATCTTGAGTTATGGAAGGGACTCCTCTGCAATTCCATCTGTCTTACGTTGAATGATTTTACGCTGTTTCCCTATAAAGCATAAACGACAAGGAACTTTGTATTTACACACCAATGTGTAAAGCCAGAGTTTTCCTACTATAAAGTAGCAATTATTTATTTGTAAGACAAAAAAATAAAACACCTTTTCTAAAAAAAAAAAACACATGCATGACACATTTTAAACAAGTTTCAAGCAATCGCTAATAAATCCCATTTACAATACAGCTTTTAAGAAACTTACTTGTACCCCCTCCACCAAAAATCACCTTAAAAAATAATTCTCAACTACATGCAGACTCTTAGTTATCTCAACTCCAGCTCCTAATAACCTCAAGCCATAAAAAAAACCTCAACGTAGAAATGAACCTCATTCTTTATGTTACAGAACAAGAATAAACAAATAAATAAATAAATTGCTAGAACTTGCATCTAGCTGAGCCTATGCCTTTAACAATATACAGTCCAATCTCTGTCAGGTGTTGTATTTGCCTTGTAGACACCATGCTCAACGCAGTTAATACACAATTTGAATCCTTGGGTTTGGTAACAGGTGCTCCTAGTGCAGGTTTTAGTTTTTCAAAGAATAAACCCCTGGGAAACATTCAGGATTTATCAAAGTAAATTCAAGATCATCTTGGTAAGATCACTGGCTGAAAACTTCAGACACTTCATTCTAAATACCTCTGAAAAGAGTCAGCAGGAAAACACCACTTCATATTATTTTAATCTCTTCTTTTAAAGACAGGCAGCATAAGCTTTCATTGGGCACAGAGCAAAACCCTTATCTGCCTCCCAACAAGCTGATACCTTCACCACCAGACTACTGTGTTTTTTCTCTATCATATTTTGCATTCTCAGATTAAATAGGAGAAACGTTAAGATGTCTTCTAGGAAGGCTGAGATGGGAGCTTACTTCAAGAGAAAGCAAGGTCCAGCATGAAATGACAGCAGCTGATGCATAGACATTCAGCCTATCTCAGATAATTTGCAAGCCTAAATGGCAAACCAGACATCACTAGCAACAAAGTTATAGCTTCTCAGACTAAGTAAATCTGTCACAGGGTTTTACAGAGAAGAAACGGTTTCTTTCAAACTAACCCTAGAATTCACACCTCCTTCCTGAAAAGGCACTGTAACTACCAGAAACATGCAGCCTTACAGAAGCATATTAAACAAAGTTTTCAGCAGAACTAAATTTTAAACAACAGTGATTTCTGGTGGTTCTCAAGATGGGTTACACTACCATTCAAAATTACACACAGAGCAGCAGTTTGTGCACAAGCCATGATTTAGACACCTTAAGATAAGCCAGTTTCAGGCTCTGAACTCCAGTATCAAACACCTGAATCAGGGACGCCATTAGATGCCTAACTCTAAAAGAACAATGCTGTTTCCAACACACCCCATTTCAAGTATTCTTTTATCAGTGACCTTAGCTGCCTCCCCTCTCTGCCCAATACCTAAAGTAAACTGTAAGCACTTCACTTTCCCCATGTATTATTCACAGAGGTTACACACCAAAGTCCCTTTGTACACGTGGATCCCACGCTTTATTGCTATATGAAAACCATCGTGAACCCTCCCAAAATTAAAATTAAGGAGTAGCTTGGCCCATTTCAAGCACTTGGCCGTTAACCACTTGATGTACTGATCTTGAGGGAGTCACAAGCATTTTTTTCTTATTTAGCATATTCCTGATTAAAGGCAAGGTCACACAAATTTATCAAGTTTTTAATTCACAGAAAAGATCGAGTAAGCAAGTGATAAACAACAAGAAAAAGTGTTTATCTTGCTTCTGAAAACCGGCACTATCAAGTGGCAGCAATGGAAGTGTTTTAACAAGAGTATTATTGCCAACAATATGACAAATTAAGTTTCCTAAACTATGAAACAGTAGTAAGACAAAAAATAATGTAGCTAGTATGTAGCTCCAGATATACTGGAAATGCTTAAACACACATGAACCTCATAAAATTCAGTCCTAGAAAGACAACTGTAATGGGCTGGATATCCTTTTCGGATGAGGATCACTTACCCAGACTTCAAGTCTGTAATCCGTAAACAATTGGTAGCATCCAGTCCTACTTTTCCATTTCTGACCACACTGGAAATAAAGGGTGAGAGTGCTGGAGAAATTCTGTTCAAGGCTACTTCAGGTGACATCTTAGTATGTTCCTCTTTCCTTTTGTCTTGAGCTGCACAAGGATGGTAAGGGGGAAATAAAATCAGAAAATATCCTACTTATTTGATGTAAAATCACATGCACTCTGCAAACATGGACAGAAAAAAATCTATGCATGCAAAGGATTAGGAATGTAGAGTAACCAAAGTGTGCACAGCTTTATAAAGAAAAAAATAAACACAGCTAATTCTTTTCCTCCTACCTCTGCAACATTCAATGAAGCCCATTTATTCAACATCAAGATAAAAACAGACATATGTCCTAGGCTCCTTTAATTAAGACCCTATCCCTACAAGAAAGCAATAAAACTGATGGCCACTCTGACACTTCACAGCCTGTGCCTTCTCATGAGTGTTTCCACCAGGAGCCTGTAATTGACAAGCCACATCTGTTCTGTTTCCACCAAAATCAATGGCACTCACATTACCGACTGCAATGGGAGCAAGGGTTTGATTGTCTCTTCGCATTCTCATTTGTAATTTCTAATACCACTTGTCTAGCCTTAATCAGTATTACTTTCACATTACTTCCATTAGGTAGCTATTTACAGCATTTCACAATGCCTTTTAAAAGCTAACACTGCTTTTCTTTCCGTGGTATCACCACACTCTTTGAAAGGCATCTTCATTCACAAAACAGATCAGGAAGCTGATGTGTCCACATTTTAAGCATGCCTTTTTAAAGAAGTGCTTGCAATTGTGTGACCTTATGCTGTATCAGTTAGCCCACTAAGTTAGCACACTTCAAGAACCTGCTACCTCTTAGCTGAAATGCAGAAACTGAACATGCACACGTTTTAACTCATTGTACCTCCAAAAGGCTATAGCATGTGGACAGCAGACTGTGGTAAGAGAAATGGGAGAAAAGAAGGGTAACCTGTTAAAATGCTAAGGTATCATATTCGAGCATATTCTTAGGCAGAGAGTGTCAACAGAAAATTAACTGAACTTGATAGTTTGAGAAAACAAAACCATAAATGAGTCAAGGTAACATAAACATGCCACTGACAAGTGGGCTAGAGGAGCTCATACTTAAATTCTGACCATTAAAAGATATTTTTTAGAAACATCCACTTAATTGAAAACCACCAATACATACTGTATTTACTTCCTTCCAAAATGCCCCATATGGGCTGCTGTACTAATAAGTGTTCTATAAAGAGAGTGTGAACAACTCATGGCAACAGTTGCAATTTGCTGTTGTTTCTAACACTCGGTTTACAAGTATTAGTTGGTAACTAAGGGATATTCCACAAACTGGTAACTCCCTGGAACTGGTAGCAACATTAAAGTTACACATTTTGTTCTCATGAAAGTCATTCCGACTGAAGGAGTGCGAAGCAATGTTCAAGAAAAGAGTATTTATCCTAGCTAGTTGGAATGTATCTGAATAAAGCAAAGGCCAGACACTCTAAGGCAAACAAAAAGACTAATAAATTAAGACTTCCTAAAAATGGCAATTATCTTTAATACTCTGGTTCTTACATTTTATGGTAGACAAAAAGCTTAAGATTAAATATCCATGTCCTAACACATAACACACTCTCCACACATTTGATTTGCTGCAATTGACAAGAGGCAACTACTTAAGTTCACTTAGCAAACATCCATAGCAATTTAAAATGCAACCTCCTGTTTGTTACTTTTCTACCAAAAATTACTGCCTGCTCACCTTTATTTTTCCCCAGAGGAACTCAGAGACCACAAGCCTCCTTCAGCACAAAATCCAATAGCTTAGATTGAACCACTAATAAAACATGAGTTTAAACTAATCATGGAATGGTTTTGGGTGGAAGGGACCTTAAAGCTCATCTAGCTCCAACCCCTAGGAAACCTTTCCTAGGCCAGGTTGCTCCAAGCCACATCCAATGTGGCCTTGAACACTGCAAGGGATGGGGCAGCCACAGCTTCTCTGGGCACCCTGTGCCAGTGCCTCACTAAAGAACTTCTTTGCACAAGAGTGGCTAAAACAGAGCACATGTTTCAGTCTGCTGGCTCCACAGCTGGGAACTGCGAGGCAGCTAGACTGAAGAAAGCAAGAACTTCCTAATCATTAAAAACATGCCGAAAACCAAGCTATCCGCCTAGCAATCTTAAAGGTATACACAGGCCTCTCAGAATCAGTTCTGATAATGACACGTTAAGGGGATAATGACACTGTTAGGAAAACAGAATTGCGAGGCGTTAACGAGATACACATGGTGATCCAAGCTGATGATCTGATCAACAGCTGCACCTTCCAAAATGAACTGCAGGATGAGATTCCTTATCGTTTTGTTACTAAAATACGCGGATATTGTCAAAACAAGATGCCAATGACTGCTAGGCATTTTTCCTAGTTTTATTGCATCATTTCTTTAAGATCCACAATACCTTCTACGTAAAAAGCCAGATATACAGGGTCACTACCAATTAAACTCACCAATTTATTTTGTAAACAGAGGTCTTTACAAACTAACGCAATTAGGACTGCTTTCGTAAGTTTCAGTTGTCACTTCTTTTTCCCAGCTTCATTTTCCCACAGCACTTGAAACAGAACACAAACAAACTCAAGGGAGTAAACGAAAACAAAATTCACTAGACTGTTTCCCTCTGAAAACAAAACATCTGAAAGAAGTAAACAAACTAAGAGTGAATCCTTTGCATTCGGGCAAATGTACCGTATGCTTCACAGTGACCCTGAAATCCCAGGCACTGCTTTGGGCACCAGAGAGCGTCCAGATGCAAGACACTCTGCTCCCCACCACCGGTAACAGCACTGTGGGCATTAAGTGAAGCAAGGAAAAGGTGAATATTGTGATGGAGGCCTTGAAGAGCGAGGGAACCTTTCCAGACTAACCCTCTCGCTCGGCTGCCGACAAGCTGGGCCTACGCTTTTCACTTCGAGGATGCAACGGGTGTCTGGGTGTAGGGAAACCAGGGAACTCACGACCACCTTCGCCTCCTCCCGCCGTGGCCGAAGGCAGCCCCGCCTGGCAGCCCGCGATGGGAGCAGCACCGCGGGTCTGCAGAGCCCCGGGTAACCCCAGGCTCCCTCAGCCCTGGCACAGAGGCCGCGCACCAGGCTGACCCTGCCAGCCGCGCTCCTCCGCTCCACCCGGGGGCGGCCACCGCCTCACCGCCCCACCGACGCCCCGTGCGGAGGCGGCGGGCCCACCACCGGAGCCGCTGCGTGCAGCCCCGCTCCATCCCTGCACGGCGGCGGCGCCCGAGAGAGAACCAGGCTTCGGCCAGCCGTGACCCCGGGCTACATCGGCCCCCGGGCCGCCTCCTGGCCAGTTCCTTAAGAACCGGCCTGCAGCCGCCCCGGGGCTGGCGGAGGAGGCGGGCGCCAGGGCAGAAGCAAGCAAGCAAGCCAGCCCGCCTGCCTGCGTGCCTGGCCTGCCGCCCGCCGCGCCGCTCCCCCGGGGCCGGCAGGGGCGCTGCTCCCGCCCGCCCGTCCCCGGCCCTGCCCGGGCCCCGCCATACCTACGGCGGCCGGAAAGCAACCGCTTAGCAACGGCTGCGGATACGCGCCCGTCCCGTCCACCCGCGCCGGGCGTGCGCGCTCCCGGCGCTCCCGCCCCTCCGCGCGGCGTGCGCGCCTCCGCCCCCCTCCCCGCCACTGCCGCTCCTCTGGCCGGAGGGGTCTTCACCGGGCCCGCTATTGGCGGCTGCCGCAGTGCCTGTGCGGACTGTCCCGCCGTGCAGGAGTGCGGCTGCGGGTCCGTTGCAGCCGGAGTGGGGCGAGGGAGAAAGGAGGGAGAGGAGGGGGGGCGGCCTCGCCAGCAGGCGTTCGCCATGGGCACCCCTCCAGGCCGAAGGTCCCTGCGGGCCGGCCGCTCCCCCACCCGTCGCCCATGGCAACGGGTGAAGCCGCGGCGGTGGCGGGGCCTGGCGCGAAGTCCGGGTCCAGGGTCCAAGGCCCGGGCAGCGGGGCCTGGGGATAACCCGTTCCCCCGGCGCCATGGCCGCTGAGGTGGTGGTTGTGGGATCCTGTATGACCGACCTGGTCAGGTTAGTACCCGCGGGGGCTCCGGCAGGCCCCGGCACGGGGCCGGTCCCCGAGGTCACGGGTGGGAGCACAGGGCGTCACGGTGCCAGGGGCAGAGCAGCGGCTCCCTGCGCCTCCCGAGAGCGGGCCGGGCCCGGGTGCCCCCCCACACACACACTCTGAGCCCGGGAACAGCGGGCGTCGTGTGTCCCTCCAGGCCAGGACCGGAGACGTGGGGTCGGCACCGGGAGCGGCGACGAGGAGCTCTCGGCCCTGGGCAGAGGGAGCTGGTAGCGGCAGGGCAGGGGGGAAGGAGCGGAGCAGCCGTGGGGGCGGCTGGGCCCGGTGATGTCAGCACTGCAAATACGGCTTTGAAAGAAGACTGTGGGAACGGGGAGAAGTTTGGACGTGTTGTCTGCTGGAGCTTTGATCAGCTGTCTGCAACTGTAGGGAGAAGAGAGACTTGGGGTTGTGTTTTCAGCTGGGCTAGGTGGCTCGGCGTTAGCCTTGCCAAGAAAGCGGCATTTCGTGGTAATCCCGCCTGGGGAATCGTGAACTCTGACACGCTTAATCAACAGAGGAGTTTGAAACGATTTCATGAAAGTAAATAAAGCTGGTCAGCTGTAACACGTTTTCTGTTCAAAGCACTTGTCTCCACTAGAAAAGCGACAAAGTATGCAATGAAAGTATGCAAGTAGGTTGTAAGTTGATGGCTTGAAGACAACATTTTATGTGGCCTTTTGAAAGGAGAGAGGGAGGAGGCCTCCCAAGCTACTCATATCCAAACAGAGTAAGTGGAAGTGGGAAACCCTCAAAAATTTAGCACCGCTGCACACCAAAGCTTGTTTTTAAATTACGAAAACTTTTTTTAAAAGAATGCTTTAATTCCTTTTTATTCATTTTTCTGGGTGTTTTGCATTTATAATTACGTACTTGGGTCTCATTCTCTTTGTTTTGGTACATAGGTACGGTTTGGAAACTTTGTTGTAGGATTAAAGTTCAGAACTTCATGAAAGCTCTTGGTTCCACCATTTTATAGTACATACTAAATATCAACAGATTCAAGCAAAATTGCAAAAGTTGGCAACGATGCAAAATACTAACAACGATGCAAAATACTAACCTACACTGGTTGACCTTGTCAACCCCAGTAAACTTGCAAATCAGTCTTTGATTTGCACAATTTTAAACACATCTGGTTTTAAACTACATATGCAGTCTTGGTTAAAATAGGATTTAAAAGTCTATGTATCTGGACTCCATCAGCTTCTCCTGCTGGGAATTCTGCAATAAAAAACTCAATTTCTCTATCACCAGACAATTGTATCAAAGCCTGTGGGTCAAGAAAGTGTAGAATAGATGATTAGAAGAATATGTTGAGAAGTAAGTACAGTTCAGGCATAGGCATGTGTAGCAGAAACAGTGAAAACCCTTGAAATAATCGTAGAACCTGTGTCAGAAAGATTTAATGTTTTATGTAATGTGCAGAACACACTGGCAGCTTTCCAAGGAGAGTAATTGTCTTGTAAGTCGCAGTAAGATCTTGTAGAACAGATCTTGACGTTATGCGTGAATGAGCTATCAGATGCTTGTGACGTTATATTAAAATATAAAACATGACAAGACGTTCCTTTTCCTGTCTCTCTGAAACGCGGGCAAAAAAATCATCAAGAAGTTGTCTACCAGGTCAAGCACTGCTGACAGCCACACCTTTGGGTTTTTTCTGCTTTTTTTTTTTTAACTTAAAAAAAAAAAGAAAAGAAAAGAAAGAAAACTCCCCTCATTTTTTGGCTGCAAGTTTGATATTATAGAAATGCAGTCATTTATTCAAAGCCATATTAACTGGCCGTACTGTAACCGGAGATTAAACCATGGGTTGTAGCCACAGATGCTGTTACACTGAGATTAAGTGGTTGGAGAAATGCCATTTCACTTTTCAATCAGCTGGGAGGGTTTCTTAAATTGTACAAATGCTAACACAAGAATATATCTGACTCACCGTTATTAGTCTCTACTTTAAGGAGCAGTGAAGGGCTTTTTATTAGTGATAAGCTGATTTGCTTCCGCTGAAAAAGAGGGGACAGCCTCATTCTTTGTGTTACTAGCACAGGACTTCAGGCACTGAAGACAAAGAGTGCGTTTAAATTTAGCTGACAAGAGTTTAATCTTACTGAAATCTCCATGTAGTCCCCAGGTACACATAGTTTAAATGTATCCTGTGTTACAAAAGTCCTGGTAAAATTACTGTCAAGTACTAAGCTGTTGGCTGGGATGTGCCTGAGGAGAGAGCAAAGCTGTGAAACAGGGAATGATAAGCCATCTTTATCAAATATGGTAAAAACTGCCAGATTAGGATTAGGGTTGATGCCAGGAGGGTATCTCCTGACTGTCTTTATGTCTGGAATTTAGAGGGGTTCCATACTCTAGATTTAAAGCCGGTTCATTTCAGGTTCATTTCAGACAGGATGAAAGAGCATCAGGCTTTTGCTAGTTTGTCTGTCATTTATGCTAATGTTTCAGCTTGTAAAAGACATGGACAGCATGCTAGATGCCCAACTGTCACCTGTTTGGAGGAGGCTGAGTAAACTAAATTAGGAATGAAAGTCATGCAGAGGAATTCAAGACTCATTGTGTTTGGTAGGCATATTCACCACTTGACACTTAAGCCTGTCTTTTCTAGAAGCCAGTCATATTAACTGAGACTCTGCCAGAAATTGACAATGCTCTGTTGTAACTTGAACTGATCAAATATGAAGCCCCTCTGCCTTGCCCCTCTGTCTGGAAAGCTACAGGCTCAGACTGGCAGACATGAAATGGAAAATATTCCCATGTCCATAGAGGTATCAAGAATCAGGAAGATAACCTTCAAGCTGCCATTGGGCATGTGCTAGCCACGTTCACCACTAAATAAATAATAAAAAAAACAGCACCTAATGTTTTTCTCAATGCAGTAAACTAATGATTTAAAAAAGCGTAACCTTGGTGTGAATTGGAAATGTACAACTTGAAGTTTACTCTGTCTTATGTAATGACTGAGATGGAAAAGGACAGGGGCCTTCTGTGGAAGGCAGTATTCTGATGTAATAATCAAATTCAGAAGAAAGGGTAGTGTGCCTTAAAATTCATTTAAAGGGAAGGGGCCCAGTGGTTTGCTTTTAAAATAGTGTTCTCATTGGAAATTCTTTTCTCATTGTCCTGTAGCGCTGCAGTGGCAGAATGTGGGTTTTCTAAAGTGAATTTAGTATAATCAAAACAACCTCACGTACATACATGCAGTAAACCACACTTTTTTGGCTAATAGGACCAGGAACAAAACATATTTGTGGTCAAAATCACAATCAACACTTCATTGGGAATAGCAGGCAATAGTAGTAGAAAACAAAAACAGCATTATTCTATATGATCTAGATACCAAACCAGACGGGTACCATCCATAGTATTATTTAAATAGTTTCTGCTCTGACTCATATTTGCAGACTGGTCGTGGCATTGGCATTTTAATTCATATTAAATCAGGACAAGACTAAACATATAAACCAATGAGAGTCAGACATACTAAAACAATTAGAATAAACAGGAGAAACTTTGGCATGGCAATTGAAAACAGCAGAAGCAAAGAACAAAATGTAAATGGAAAAACAGTGTTTGGATAGTCACAACAACAACAGTTTTTCAGTTTAACTCAAGGAAATAAGACCACAGCCCGAATACTGTAAAACTGTGTTTTTTAGGATGTTCAAAATTTGAAGTCTTAGTTTCCTGTGTAGCTCTTTCCTTCCCTTAGGTTGCTTCATATGCTGTAGGGAGTATAACTAAAAGAAATGCATCCAGTCCCCTGTTGTAACAACTGTTGTTAAGAGTTATTACAAGTACTAGACTGATTGACTGAAAGCATTTAGCAAGAGAGGAAAGACGCATCAGAGAAAACATGAAAAAATGAAATAGTATGTTGCTAGACTGGAGTGGACAGTGGTGACAAATGCACATCCAGAACTAACATCCCAGAGCAGTCTGATGGACACTTCAAATATTCACTGACCAAGCACAGTCTTTGCCTATGGAAAACGGCAAAGGTATCTCCATTTGTGAGATTCTGCATCTTCTTCTTAAGTCTCTAGTTTCAGTTACTTCAGCTGAAGTAAACGGTTCATTGGAAATGTCCACGATCCAAAGCTATGTCTATACATTCTTTTTTAAAAATGCAATGTTTGGGACAATAATTTCAGGCTTCTTTTCTGGGAAAATTGAAAGGAATTTTCTCATGCTTCTTTTGAGTGAGCAGAGCAGAGCCTCACATGTGACTTCATTTTCTTCTTTACTTTGTTTTCAGGTCTTTCACGTGTATTACTTCCACCACTTCTCTTGCATGCATAGTCACCAAGTTTTAATGTTTTTTTCTGGCTTTAATGTTTTCTTTTTTTTCTGCTCTCCAACTTCTCCTAGCAGCAAAGTGTTCTAGAATCCTTCAAATCCATTTGTGTTTTTGTTTTTATCTGTAATGCTTCCCCTGCAGCAGCCACTCCTTATTCTAGTCAATCTGCCATTGCCAGCAGCATGGGAAAGCACAACTGTGAAGGAATACAAGCTTAGTCCAGTTGAGGAAATTAATCTT